CACCCCTACAGCTGTATACCCCTTCCAGCCCGCACCCCTACAGCTGTATACCTCTTCCAGCCCGCACCCCTACAGCTGTATACCCCTTCCAGCCTGCACCCCTACAGCTGTATATCCCTTCCAGCCTGCGCCCCTACAGCTGTATACCACTTCCAGCCTGCACCCCCTACAGCTGTACACCCCTTCCAGCCCGCACCCCCTACAGCTGTATACCCCTTCCAGCCTGCATACCCCCCACCCGCCCAGGCCCCTGCATGTACACCTAGTGCTCTGGTTAGCTCTGCCCTCGCTGCAGGCCCTCCCGCCACGGGGCCTTAGCCTCCCTGGGCTCCCTGCCTGGCCGAGGGGCCCTTCCAGGTCCCACAGCCTCCAGAGTAGACTTTATCATTAGGAGCAGGCGCTGGCTCAGTGCCTTGTCAGCCAACCCATCTGGTCTAAGCAGGCCGGGACCATCCCGGCGCCCTCATCCTTGTGTCTGGGTGTGAAGGGAGGGCAGGCTGAAGGCCTGGGGGCCGTCTGACCCACCCCCACTATAGCGCTGGGGACACCGCGGCCCAGAGAGGGCCCTTGGCGGGTCCAGGGCTGGAGCACAGTGGCGGTCATGAAGGTGACAGTGGCGCACAGTGCCGGGGAGGGGCAGGGCCCACGTGGTGGGGAAAGTGCCCCACGGCCAGACTTAACGCAGGGAGATGGCAGGACAAACAGCTCAGCCAACTGAAGTGACATGGGGTCTCCGCCCCAGGGACCCCCCGCCGTATGGCCCCTGCCTACCTGTGGAGGCTCGTAGGGCACCACGACGCTCTGCCTGCCGGTGACGGGGTCGTCCACGTACTGTGAGAGATTGTTGCCTTCCACGCGGATGAGGTGGCTGGCCGGGGCAGACTGTCCTGCCAGGAGGCGTCACTGCTTCAGGAGGGTGCCCGCCGCGGTCTAGCGTGGTCCACCCACCCCGTGCCAGGTGTGTCACAGCAGAACTGGACACAAGCCCCGCCCTACAGGCCTCCCAGTGAGGCTCCTGACTGCTGGCAGCCCTCGTGTCCTTGGGTGCCTGGCCCTGGCACACTGGATAGGAGGTGCCACTCCACACACGGTCCTCAGGGGCCCAGAAGGCCATCTGGTACCTCAGGCTCCTCCCAGACCCCCACCCTGCCCGGAGCAGCAGCCCCCACGGCCCCAGGGCCCACACTATCCGCCCACTCACCAACCCCTTCTCTCTGCCCTTCCCAGACCGTGGTCCCGGGGACCGGCGGGGCCCTCACCTTCATTGAAGTCCCTCCCGAGCTCGTGGTTGGGGCAGCGCTTCACGATGTCGGTCACATGCTCTGCCTTCTTGTAAACAGGCATGGCGCGGATGGCGGTGCCTGGGGGCGGCGGGGTGGACACCTTGACCTGGATGGGGCATGTCTTGGCGATTTGGCAGTAGAGCTTCTTCAGCAGCGGGGAGTACTGGTGGGGAAGGGGGCCGGTTGAGCCCAGTGGTCCCAGCTCCACACTCTCGTACCCCCAGGGGGAGACCGTCCTCCCCACAGGAGCCCCTTCCTCATGCACCCCCTCCTCTGCGTTCCTCCAGCGTCCTTCCTTCAGAGCCTGGACACCGGCACATCTGCCCCGGCACCCAGGTTCACAACGATCAGGTGATTTGGGCGCAGTGACGGCAGTGGCTCAAGTGCCAGCTGCAGCCGGGCTCAGGTGCTCTATGCCCGGACCGCGCTGGAGAGGAAGGTGCCGTCACGTCCATTTTATGGCCGAGGACAGTAAAGACCAGGAGAGTGAGAAGGAGCTGCTGGGGACTATGGGGGCGGGGAGTCCCCATTGTGGACCTCAGCCCCAGCTGCAGTGGCTTAAAGAGGAAGATGGGCATCATCGAGCCTGTTTTAAGAAGCCCAGAGGGCCAGGCGTGGTGGCTCACGCCTGTAATCCTAGCACTCTGGGAGGCCGAGGCAGGAGGATCACTCAA